GAAAAAAAAAAAAAAAAAAAAAAAAAAAAAAAGAAAATGAGAACAGAATTAAGTTGTCAGAGAACAATGATGAATTCTATTTTGTACATGTTGAGTTTGAGGAACTGTGTGATACCCAAAACAGAGATGTCTAGGGGCTGGCTGGTTAGCTCAGCTGGTTAAAGGGTAGTGTTATAATACCAAGGTCAAGGGTTCAGATGCCCTTACCAGCCATCCATCCACCAGGGGGAAAAAAAAGGACGCAAAACAGATGTTCTAGTGCACAGATGAATATATGGCTCTAGAGTTCAGAAGAAAAATATGGACTGGAGATGATAGATTTGAAAGCTGTAAGCCAATAGTAGGGGTGACTTAAGTCATGTGAGTGGCTAGCATTAGGCAAGGAAATATGCAGAATTACCTAAAATGACTGAGGACACAATTCTAAAACACAGCAATATTTAAGATACAGGAGGTAGAAGAAGAGCCCAGGAAAGAGACTGAGAAAAGCAGTCCTAGAAACAGAAGGAAAATCAGAAGGGAACTGTAAGTACCCTTGGAGTCAAGGGAGAAGAGAATTTCTTTTTTTTTTTTTTTTCTTTTTTTAAAAGATGACTGGTAAGGGGATCTTAACCCTTGACTTGGTGTTGTCAGCACCACGCTCAACCAGTGAGCTAACCGGCCATCCCTATGTGGGATCCGAATCCTTGGCCTTGGTGTTATCAGCACCGCACTCTCCCGAGTGAGCCACAGGACCGGCCCAGAAGAGAATTTCAAGAAAGTAGTTTACAAGGTCGAATGCTGCAGAGATGTTCAGGAGACTACAGACTACAGTGTCAGTTGAACCTACCACTGAGGAAGTCACTAATGAATTTAAGGAAAGCTGTTTTATCACAGAGGTGGAAAAACAAACAAACATCAAACAAGGAAAAAAAGGATGAGGGAGGGTTTTAAGTTGACAGTCGAGGTCCTTGAGTAAGTAGGTAGGGGTATGACCTAAAGCACACAGAAGATTGGTCCTAAACAAGTGAAAGGCTATTATCTTCCCTGAGATGTGAATAGAGTGTAAGTTTGGAAATAGAAGATAAAAGAGGAAAACCAGGAAGCTAAAAGGGTTCTTGCTTAATGGCCTGTTTTTTTCTTTGAAGTACTCTTTACTGACCACAAAAGAGGAAACGATAGAAAGCTGGAAGGTTTAAAAAAGCTGTTAAGGCAAGAGAGGGCTGACTGTGGACCCTGGAGAGAAGTGCTACAGGCTCACAAAATCTTGAGCAACTCTACAGAATCCCCTTTATTTTAAGTCTCAATTCCAGAGTCATACTGATGGATGTGGAAAATGGTACATAACCTATACAGAGCTACTTAGTAATATTTATCAAAATGCACAGAAGAAATTTCCTAATGCAAATAAATTTCTTTTGACCCAGCAACCCTACTTCTGGAAATGTATGTAACAGGTACTCCTTGCAGATATGTGGAATGATGTGTATACAAAGTTATTCAGTGGAGCACTATTTGTGAGCAAAACAATGGAAACAACTTAAGTGCCCATCATAAAAGATGGATAAAATGGGTAAAATAAACTAGTTTACTATATAGGTATAAAAAAAAACTGAGTAGCTCTCTCTTCTGAAGTGAAAAGATCCATAGGACCTATCAAGTGAAAAGAAAAGTATAGAACGGTATTTATAGTATGCTACAATTTGTGATTCAGGAGTTGAAAATAAAAATCTATATCAATATTTGTTTGTATTTGCATTAGAAAACCTGGAAAAAGACACAAAAACTATTAAAAACAATATCCAGGGCCGGCCCGTGGCTCACTTGGGAGAGCGTGGAGCTGACAGCACCAAGTCAAGGGTTAAGATCCCCTTACTGGTCATCTTTAAAAAAAAAAAAAAAAAAAAAAAAAAAAAAAAAAAAAAAAAATTTCCAAAATAATAATAATTTCCATAGAAGAGTGGGTGGGACAAGTAATTCTCAACGTGTATACCACGTTATACTGTTATGATTTTAAACTGTATGTAATATATTACCTTTCCAAAACAAAAAACTTAAGATTTAAAGATTTTCTATGCTATAGATCCTCTCTTCAGAAAAATGAACATAACCGTGGAAGCCCCATCCCCTGACCTTAGGTTGAGGTGGTCATTATCTAGATTCAATGCTGTGATATCTACAATTGACTATTCAAAAATTTCAGTAAGTACGACGCTGACCATCTAGCTCAGGTGGTTAGAGCAGAGCCTTGTAACATCAAGGTCACGGGTTTGGAACCCCTTACCGGCCAGTGGCAAAAGAAGAAAAGAAAAAAAATTAGGGCCTGCCCGTGGCTCACTCGGGAGAGTGCGGCGCTGGCTGCGCCGAGGCCGCGGGTTCGGATCCTATATAGGGATGGCCGGTGCGCTCACTGGCTGAGCATGGTGCGGACCAGACCGGACCGAGGGTTGCGATCCCCGTACCGGTCAAGAAAAAAAAAAAAAAAAAAAAAAAAAAAAAAAAATTAAAAACGAAGCAATTGTGGGCCGGCCTGCGGCTCACTTGGGAGAGTGCGGTGCTGATAACACCAAGGCCACGGGTTCGGATCCCATAT